GTCCCCGCTCTGTCACCTCCTTGCGGGTGACCTTGGGAGGGCTGGGCAGCCTCTTGGGCCTCAGTCTCTCTGCGATGGCTCCTGGTTGCCGTGAGCAGCACAGCCCTTCGCCAGGAGCCTGGCACCGTGGAAACCTTTGCTACACGAGAGCTTTGGAGACTCTGGGGTGGCAGGGCACCAGAGTGCAGCCCCTCGTAGTGATGAGCCTTGAGCCAGGAGTCAGGCCTGCACAGAGGGGTGAGTCCCATCCCAGAGTCCAGCCCCGGGGTGCCCGGCGTCCTGGGGGCTCCGAGGGGCAGGGCAGCCAGCCCACCTTGGACGCTCAGACCCCGCCTTGTTCCTCTTCAGCAGTGCTTTCCCTCCCTCCTCAGGTAGGGGCCTGTGGTCATCAGTGCCTCTGCACCGTTACGGCATGAATGCGAGCCCACCGTGTCACTGCTCTGAGCTTCGCTTTGTCCGTCTTTGGAATGGGGTTGCGACGGCTCACACCTCGGGGGCCATCGCAGGCTGTCAGTGGGTTTGTCACTGGAGCACAGGCTGCCATTGTCACCTCCCTCCCTTGCCTGCCCGGTGCCCGGGCCACGTACGTTCAAATGGCAGATCCCCGGCCAAAGCCAGCTGCCATGTGACCTCATGCAAGGGGCTTCAGCTTCCCGTGCCTCAGTTTCCCTGTTTGCTGCTGCCTCTCAGAGCTGGGATGCGTGAGCAGCGGGCGTGTGAATGAGCTGCGGAGGGACCTGCCCTCCGGGGCTCTCCTTCCAGCCCTGCCTGGGGGGACAGCACGCCCAGGGAGGGGCAGCGGGAGGGGCCTCGGGGGCCTGAAGGCTGCCTGCCCGGTGGGGCAGGACCTCCATGTCTCTCCCACGGGCTGGGGGTGTCCCTGGCAGCATCTCCCCGATCAGCAGGGTGGCTGCCAAGTGGCCAGAGTGGAGCCACTGGAGCTGGGCCAGGAAGCCTTCCCCAGGGATGGACGGGGACCTCGAGGCTCAGATCCAGCCCGTGTCCTCAGGGCCCTGCTCTGCTTCTCACATCCAGGGTCCCCATGCTGGGGCCCCGGGACAGCTGAGTGACAGGTGACAGTGAGCAGCAGGCCTGGGCTGTCCTGTCCTGCTGCGCCAGGGAGCCTGTGTCCTCACGCTAATCTGATTTCAGCCTGATTAGGTCCGAGGAGACTGGAAAGGGCCCGAAATCAGGGGCTGACGTGTCCGGGACACAGGCAGCCCCGCCTCTCCACGCAGCAGCTGGGCCCGAACGAGGCACTGCTCAAGGCCAGGAGAGCCCTGCTGTGGCTGGGGTTGGGGAAGCGGGGGGGGGGGTAGCCCACACCCACGGGGTGCCCTAGACAAATACAGTGGCCCTGCCCCCGTGCTGGGCTGCCTGCCGCAGTGGCACTGCCCCCGTGCTGGGCCGCCTGCCGCGGGGCCAGATTTTGGGGACAGACCCTTATCGTGGCCACTCGGCTGGACTTCTGAGGCCGAGCTTCTGGATGCTGGTGAAGCAGTGACCGCCCTTTGTGGAGGGCCCCTCTGGCCGAGGAGAGAGAATGCCGCTCGGCCCTGAAGCCACGGGAACACGGCCGCCCATCAGGCCTTCCGTGGCCACAGGACACGGATGGGCAGCTTCTGGCTCACACTGGCCCCGGCCCCCTGCTCCACCGTCGCTCTGCTTGTGGCTGGGACGTCCCTGCAGCCGCTCTGGCCCAGCGTCCTGTCACTTGTACCTTCAGGAGTCTCTCTTCCAGAATCTGAAGCCACCCCTGATGTGAGTGAGGGAGCACGGGGCTCTGATTGGCTGGGCTCTGGCCACACACCCTGCCGGGCCCAGGGGTGGTGAGGACGGAGCAGAGGAGGACAGGGAGTGGACGTGAACAGCAGAAGCAGCGGCTACCCACTGCCCTTGCTGAGCGGAAAGAGAAGGGGGCCTGTCCCGTCCTGTCCCGTCTCCATCTCTGGGCCTCAGTTTCTCTCATTGTACAGCGATCATGACCGTATCACCTACTCTAGCCACTTTTAGCGTGAGAGAGTGTTGGCACGTACACCGGACAGAAGGGACTGGGACCCAGGGCATTCTGGAGACAGACCCCGTCCCCCCAAAGGGCGTGCGCCACTCTGGAGCAGACACGGGCTCCAGTCTCAGCTCTGCTGCCTTCTGATCTGGAGCCAACCTTCTCCGCTCTCTGGGCCTCAGTTCTCCTTACCTGTAAAATGGGGTAATTGTTGGTGGGAGGCCAGGGCAGGCAGCACCAGGACCCAGGAGCCCCGTGGATGGATGGGGGTGCGGCTGCTGCCCACTCCCCCCCCCCCCCCCGTGGAGCCCGGTGGTTTCTCCCAGTCCCGCGGAGTCCCTGGCCCGAGGTCCGAATCCGTGTGCACAGCTGTTGTCCAGTGCCAGCCCAGGGAGGGCTTGGGGCGGTTCTGGAAGGTTAGGGGCCTGAGTGGCCACAGTGGGGGCAGGGCCGGGCCAGGCAGACGCTGTGTCCATGGGGAGCCTGCCCCATTCTGAGCCCCCGAAAGGAAGCCTGGCTGGCCACCTGCGATTATGGTTAGGAGCTGTGTAATTAGCTCTAAAAATGGGAGGCTGAGGCGGAATTAAAATACACACTTAGCGGCAATTAGAGACGAGTGGTGTGCAAAAAATAGTGGAGCCAGACTGGAAGCTGCAGCCGTCCTGCGGGCGGCAGGGGGTGTAGTGGGGGGACCGGGCGGGAGCAGGAGGGTCTGAAGCTGCAGGGCCGGGCGGGGGTGCCAGGTGGGCTCTGGTCCGGACCTGGCTCCTCCGTCTGCAGGCTGCGCGCTGGTGTCCACAGGCGGGGCGCTTAAAGCACCTGGCGCGTTTTCAGGCAGGGAGCTGGGAGTCCGGGAGCGTGGTGTCCGCGGGGCGAGCTCCTCCCTGGGGGCTCCGTGGGAGCGCCTGTCCAGGCCTCTCCCAGCTCCTGGTGGCTTCCCTGGCTCGGGAGCATCACCTCCGTCCTCACCCAGCCTCCTCCCTGCGGTCTGTTTCTCTGTGTCTCTCTGTTTTTTCCATTAAGTTCTCTTATCAGGGTCAAATACGCAAAACATGAATATACCATTTTAACTGCTTCTAAGAATGCAGTTGGGTGGCATGGGGAGCCTTCCCGAAAATGCTGCATAACCATCACCGCCGTTGTTTCCAGAACTTGCTCGTTATCCCGAAGAGAAACTCTGTCCCTGGTAAACACTGGACCCCCCTCCCCCCACCCCACCCTGTTTCTGTCGCTGTGGATTTCCTTGTCCTGGGTCCCTCGTGTAAGTGGAATCCCGTGAGTTTGGTCCTTCTGTGTCTGCAGTGTCAGGGCAGGCACGGCTGGGAGAGTTTTAGGTCCACACGTCCAAGCCAGCAGCTGTAGCCAGCGTGGCTGTTAAATTTACATGGATTAGAATAAAGTTAAATGAAAAGTGCGGTGGTTCAGTGGGACCGGCCGCGTTCCGAGTGCTCGGTGGGCACGTGTGCGTGGCTGCCCGGCCCTCAGCACCCATACGGAGCGTTTCCGTCTCCAGAAAGTTCTGCTGGAGGGCCCTGCTCCAGGTTCATGGAGACGAGAGACGTGCTGACCAGCGCCGTGTGTGACGGGGCGGGACCCTGGGCCGGGCTGTCTTTTACTTCTGTCAGCACGCTTTGCTTCCTTTGCCTTCCTGTGTGGAAGAAACGTCAGGGCGTTTCTTGGCGGGGCGGGGTCGGTGTATGTTAATCTCCTGGTGTTGCCTTTGATGCCGTGGATGGGGGCGTCCTCGTTCTCAGGAACCACGCTCGTATGTTTGGGGGAAAGGAGGTCACATCTGCAGGTTACTCTCACATGTTCAGGAGAATTGTACACGGACACACACTCAGACGCACACACCCAGATACACACGCACACACACAGGATGGTTAACAGGGCACAACCTTGGAGCCGGTGTCGGCTGTGGTAGTGACCCGCCCGGGCCAGCAGGATGGGGCAGCCCAGCGCAGAGGCTGCTCCAGGCCTGGGCGTGTCGCCCGTTGGGGGCGGGCGGCGGGGAGGTTGGTGTCTCTGTTGGGGCACCTGCCCTATGGAAGTTCTCGGCGTAGCTAGGTTCTCGCTGGACCTGCCGTCACTTCTGATTCTGGCCTGTCCTTCATCTAAGTCTGTCCATGGGTCTGACTCTCCGGCACGCAGTCCCAGGCTCTCGGCAGGTCTCCTGAAGTCGGGCTGTTGGGCCCTTAGTGCTGCTTATGGATGAGGACGACTGGTAGACCCCGGGTTACCCTTCAGCTGTGTGCGCCGCAGTCCTCACCCCTCGGTCACCCCCACCCCAAGCTGGATTGGGTGGGCTGATGGCTCCCACGTACCTAACGCCCACTCTGCCATCAGGGTACACAGTTAACCCAGCCAGGCCCGTCCTGTTAGGCAGCCAGGCCTCAGGAGCGGAAGCCACTCTCTCCAGGTCCCGCACGCTAGAATCATCGACAGGATTCGAACCCAGGGCTGTGTGACCCCAAGGCCTGCTGCCCCCACGTCCTGACCAGCTCTTTCCCACGGGGACTGGAAGCTGGCTGTCCGGGTCGGTGCCTGCCCCATCCCCCTGGCTTGGGCTGTGTTGCCAAGCCCACTGCAGGTGCCTGGCTGCCGGGTGGAGGAGGGACCCCAGTGTCGATCTGGGAAGTGGATTTCGGCCTTGTGCACCACCAGCCCCTGCTGCGTCTGGTGTGTGTGCCGCTCCCGGTCCACACGGCTTCCGTGGGGCTTTGTCACGTGTCAGGAAACGGGGCGTGTCCGTGCCCAGGAAGGCATCACACACGTGTGCACGTGTGCGCGCTGACTGAAAACCAGCGTATGTTGTTCAGTGTTCAGATGTGTGGATCCCCGCGCACGGGCGAGCGGGGCCGCCTGTGACAGCAGGGCGTCCTCTGCGCAGGGAGGTGGTGGTCCCTGTTGGCACACGGAAGCAGAGGTTGCTGCTGGCAGCGTTGCTGCCCTCACAGATTGTGCAAGCTGAGTAATCTTCCCTTCTCTCCTCTAGTTCCTGTGTTTGAAGAACATACGTACCTTCCTCAAAGTCTGCCACGACAAATTTGGCTTAAGAAACAGCGAGCTGTTTGACCCCTTCGACCTCTTCGACGTCCGAGACTTTGGCAAGGTGAGTGGTCTCGCCTGGCGCCAGCTCCGCGGCAGGTGGGCCTGGCCTCTCCACGCAGAGCCCACGCTGGGCAGGTGTAGGCTGGGCTGTGTCACAAACAGGAGGGGGCACGTCGGGGGCTGGGGGCGGCGGGTGGCCCCTCTTGCCTCTCCAGCCGTTCTGGGTGAGGGCATCACGGAGCCAGGAGGATGGAGGGGGATGCAGGGCGCAGACGGGCACGGAACGGTGATCCCCCCGGCCCGGCCTTGCTGTCTGAGCAGCCCTGAGCATGTATTTCCTATACCTCAAATCTCCGACTCATCATGGGATGACGGGCCAATGTTAGCACCTGCTCTGGAGGGGGCGGGGCCGGCAGACATGGTGCGGGTACGCGTTCATTGTGCCACTCTGCGAAAGGAGGCATCGAGGTTGTACCTGAAACAATCTCCCCCAGCTCTGAGGAGGCATCGGGCAAGGAGGGTGGTTATCTGAACACCCAAGAGCCTGGAGGTCCCCGAGGTCTGGGGCAGATCGCCCGGGGCGGCTCCCCGTGTTCTCGGGGAGTGTCACTTGGCAGCGGTGCTGCAGCGTCCCGCCGGCACAGGTGAGGGCGGCCTGGGGCTGGGCAGCACAGAGGCCGAGGTGGGGCTTGCGGCTCCTCGCGGCTTCCTGGTGATCCTGGGCTCAGAGTCCAGCGCAGGGTGACACGTCCCACCAGGAAGCACTGCAGCCCCGAGGTCCCTCTGAAAAGATGGGGGCAGGAGCGAGGTCTCTCGGTGGTGGACTGGGGCCGAGGGCTGGAGTCAGCTCGGCTCCCCGCTGCCCTGGGTCCCGGTGTCTCCAAGCCCCTGCCTGCTGGCGAAGGGCCTGCTGCTGGCACCGGCTCTGCAAGATGGCCCCGGACTACCTGGGGCGAGTTCCCGCCTGCTGCTGGGAGCTGTCAGAAGACGCTTACTGCCTGCTTTATCTGAGGGCTGTTATCGGGGACCTGGTGTTTGAGGCAGGTTCTATGGCTGCATGATTCATGCAGTGCAAGGGGAATTTTGTATCTGCAGCTGCAAATGCTGAGAAGTCAGTTCCAGGAGGAGCCTTTATTTGAAGTGCCATCAAGTGTCGAATTAGCATCAGTAACTGGGGCTTTCCCATGAGCCTCCTGGGTCTGACAGACTCTCCTTTGGGTCTGAAAATCTCTAGAAATGAGATTGGGGAACCTTGTCCAAGGGCCCACCTCTGTGTAATCAGTCAGCTCTCAGAGGCTTCTCTTCCTCTGAATGACTCACCCAGGTCCCTCCGGCTGCAGGGCGCCGGTCTGGACTCAGGCCCTAACGCCTTCCTCTGTCCGGGGCTCGGTGCTGGGGCGGGGGCCGCGGAAGCGTGAGTGGAGCCCTGCTGGCCAGTCCTTTCCCCTACGCGGGCTTCTCCGTTTTCAGAGTGGCTTCCACATGGATTAGAATCTCTCTCCTGTTCCCTCTCCTTGTGAACAGCACCAGGGAAGGCCCTTCGGAACACACACACACACTTTCACAAATGCACTCATACACACACTGGTATTTAAAATAATCGCATGGAGAAAAAGACGGGCTAGACCCCCGCCAAGCTCCCCAGCTTGGCCCGCTGTGACGCTCAGACGCCCGCTGGTCTGCACCCCGCTTTCCTTTCCCCTGGCTGCAGCCACGTGCAGGGATGCAGGGAGCATGTAAACTTGGGTGAAACGCTCGTCGTGGGGCCTGCTGACTGGTGAGCACCAAGCAAGGGGGCAGCCCCCGTGGCGGTGGGTGGTTTGACCCCCACACAGAGGGCCCGCACGGGGCGAGCCCGGAGTGCAGTGGGTTTGGACCATTAGTCCCGGTGTAGGTGGGTGCTGGGGACGGAGTGGCGGCGAGGGACCCGCCCAGCCCGGCATGGAGGCACGGCACGCAGGGTCCCCGGGCTCTGGGAGCGGCAGGGCTGGCAGAGTGCTGCGATGCCCAGAGCTGGCCTGGTCCTGCCCCTGCTCTTCTGTTGGGTCAGAGGGACCTGGTCCAAAGTCTGGGCCCACAGAATGGCCGACGACCTCAGCAGATGACCCAGTGACTCTGACCTCTCCCGGTTTGCCGAGGAGTGGGTGGAGCTGGGAGCCCTCGGCGTGGTGCCCAACCTGGAGCAGGTGCTCGTCAAATGGCGGCGCTGTGGCCGCTGCGGTGCCCTCCCCGCCCCCAGGTCTGCTTGAAATGGAGCCGACCCCTGTGGTTGGGTGGCAGCCCCTCTCTCTTATTTCTTTGCTGTTACTTTTTCGTGAAGACTTAACATCTGCATTTTGGGAATCAGAGCCCGAGGTGGGGCGGGGCTCAGCACACGGACCGCGGAGCCCTGAAGGCTGCATTCAAGCCCCAGCCCTGCTGTCACCCGTGGCGGCCATGCCCAGGTGACTTTTTCCAAGTCCTGTCTGTAAGCTGGTGACGAGGCCCGTGCCCTCCGAGGTCTCTTGAGCAGCACGCAGACCCGTGCGTGTGGGCTCTCGGCGCCCGGTGCATGGCAGGGGCTGGCTCTGGTTCTCGGCCGCACCTCCCTTTGGCCCGTGTGTCCGTGTGTGTGGAGGCCGCCCGGGCTGGGACCGGGCCTCCTGAGGCTGCTGGCGCTGCCCGGGGAGGCGGCCCTGGTGGGAGCGCGGCCTGCCCGCCGCGTCCTCCCTTCCCTCTGACTGCGTGTCCCCGTGCCACTCTCCTTCCCGGCGGTCCGCGCTCCGGGTTGCGTCTGATGAGGGGCTGGGAGAGGCTGGGCGCCGAGACGTGCTCCCCACATGGGAGCCGCGGACCACGGCCTGTTTCGCTCGGCAAGTCCCTCCTGACATCTGGGGACGGGACACCCTGGAAAACACACACCAGCAGGGCCCCGTCTCCCCCCGGCCACACAGCTGTCTGCCCTGCTCGGGTATCCGAACACGGGGACTGTCCCCGCCCCAGTGCCTCTGGGAAGCGCCGCGGTTGACGGCGGGTAGGGGCGCAGCGCGGGGCTCCGGCCTGCTGGGTGAGGAGCAGGTCTGGGGGGCCTGGGCCTCTCATTCAGGTGTGATTTATGAGGACGGGCCTGCGGACCAGTCACCTCCGTGCACAGAGACAGCGGACGCTGCCAAGGTCCCCACGGCCCAGGAGCCCGGCCCTGCGGGCTCACCCCCGCCTGTCCAGCGATGCCCAGCGGTGCTCCGGGATGTCCGGCCGCAGGGATGCCAGCTTGCTCTGCCGCCCGCGCCTGCCAGCCCAGCGGGGCAGGAGGATCTATCTCTGGGGGCAGTTCTGGTCTCTGCTGACTGGAGCCTGCCTGGGCCCGGGTGAGAGCGGAGCTGGGGTTTGTATTAGGACGCGTGGGAAAGGGGCCGGCTCTCAGTGGTCTGCCGCGGGGACCGCAGGGCAGGGATTTGAGGGGCGAGGTTCCCTGCTGGCTTTCTGCCTGGTTGTCTTGCACCTGCACACACGGGATTCTGGAGCGAAAGGGACCCTCGTGGGATAGCCGGTTAGTCAGTCTCAGGCTGGTTTGGAAATCCCCAGATCTTTTTCTTTGCTGTTATTATTATTTTAATTAAAAATGTTTTTTGGAGGGGAGGTAATTAGGTTTGTTTATTTATTTTCATGGAGGTGCTGGGGACTGAACCCAGGACTGCGTGCCTGCCAAGCACGTGCTCCGCCACTGAGCTGCACCTTTTCCTTTGCTGTTGTTTAAGGAAGTTTATGGTGTGCAGGTCCTGTCTGGGTTTAGGTTTTGTGCTGGTCATTTTCTAAACAGCTGCTTCTCTGCTTCCCAAGGCTCTCACGTTGTCGGGGTCGCCCCTCGGGAAGGGAAGGGTCGTTCATTCGTTGGTTCCTCCACTCATCTCTCCATTAAGCCTTCAATTCACCGAGTGTTTATTAAGCACTTACTGTGCGAGAGATAAAACAGAAGGGCTCACATGACCTTTGTCCTCCGAGAGTCACGCAGGTTCGCTGTTGTGTGGTTAATGGTGGAAAAATGAGGGAGACGGTGAGACTCTTCCCCGGGCGCCGGCCGGCTCTGCCTCAGCCGTGCCACCGGGGCCCTGCCTCCGTGACTTCGGCGTGGAGGGGGCTGGGCGCTGTGGAGGCGGCTGCAATGCAAGCTCCCGTTGCTGGGGAGGGAGAACTCCTCTCCAGGAAACCGCTGTGTGGAGTCGGGCTGCCTGGCGTCCGCCTGTTTCCAGAACCAGCAGGGCCCTCCTCCTGCCGCTCTGGCCTCTGGGCGTCCCCTTCCCGCCTTCCCTTTGGGACGGGTGCAGAGAGGAGCTGATGCTTCGGGGTGCTCGAAGTTGCAGGAAAGGGTTTTTCTAAACCCAGGAGGAGTGCCAGGAGGGGCAGCCCCATGTTGTCTGGGACGGACAGCAGGCGGGGGCCCCCTGGAGAGGCTGCGGGAGCCCTGGGGGCAGCCCTGTCCCCGGGAAGCTGGCCAGGCCCGCGCACTGCGCTGTCCTTCTGGGACCTTCTCTCATCCGGAGCGGGGATGGAGGGGCGGCCGGTGGGGAGGAGGGCTTCCTGTCAGACCCAGTGAGGGTCGGACCGTCGCATCCTTGGGCTCTTTGAGCTTTTGTTTCTGCAGGGCTAGAGCGAAGTCAGTGACGGCCCAGGGTGCAGCAATGTCATAGGTCCTCGGAGAGGCGGTAAACACGCAGTCACACCGTTTTTATGAGTGATTTGTCCCTCTTCTTGCCAGCCCGCCCCGCAAGCTCCAGCAGCTCCAGCAGGAGCTGAAGGATCCAGAACGTTGGTTCCGGAAGTTTTTTGTTGGCCACCATCCCTGGTATTTTCCCGAAGGGTCACATTAAAGGTATTAGATTTCGGCTCAAACCAGTCCAGTCGGGGAAGATTGGAGCTACGGTTCAAGAGAAGGGCCTGAGACTGGAGCCAGATGCTGAGTTGGCCCGTGTGGGGAGCCGGAGACCCGGGGCCTGCTCCCTTCCCTTCTCACGTCCCCCGTGTGCCCTGTTCTGGGCGCCTGTTGGGCGCACGGGGTTCAGGAAGGGAAGGAGCGTGGGAAGG